GATCAAGAGAGAAGGTTATCATTTTGAGTGGTGATTTCCAACAACGACCTGTAGTCAATCGCGACCACTACTATGGTCGGTCATACCTGCCACCCACTCCCTAAGATTATCCCTCATGCCCTCGGGTGTAGAGGGACTGTTGTGTGCAAATGTTTGTGTATAGTTGTTATTTCAAACAATTGCAGAAAATAATCAAACAACAATTATTAAAGCCATACAATAAAATATGTTATAAATACAAGGAAGTGTAAAAGCATAATTTCAAATCTATTATTTATTAAAGTAATCCATCACTAAATGGGATCAACTTTCTAAGTTTTCCCAGTGGAGTCGCCGCCATCAAAAAGACAATCGGAGCGACAGGATGGTTTTAGACTCGCATTTTCTAAAAAATGTGGTCAACATTCTTAAGATGTCCGATAACTGAACTGACCTTAAGAATGAGGTTTTCATAAAGGGGTTCTTAAGGAGTCGCCACCAATGTTTTTACCATAAACATCGGAAAATGAAGAAAAGAAGGCGTTGGTTTAAAAAAATCAACTTTGGCCATTATAATTAGAGTTGGGTAATGGAGTTAGTTACGTGTGGGGAAGGTGTTAGCACCCCACAACGCCCCTTTTGGGTTCCCTATGATGGATTAACTTTAAAAATAAAGATGCAGAAATTATGCTTTTATCCTATTTATTTATCTACTTGTAGTAATTAAATGTCTACATGGCCCTAACTTCTAATGCACATAAAGGAAAGCAGTAAAGGAAAGCGATAAAAGAGAGAATAGAAGTGAGCTTTAATAAAATCTTTAAACTTGAGGATGCTTTTTGGCAATCCCCTCGCTCTACAAGAACGCTCACCCCTCAACCAAACAGAAAAGAAAATTCAACTCTCGAGTGTTTGAAAGATCACTCGGACTCTGGAATAATGCTCAGAGTTGTCTAAAAGTCTTAGAATGCTTTCTAGAGTAAGAGAAGAGTGTGAGAGTGTGTTGAAATGAAGAAAATGAGGCCATATTTATAGGGAAACGTGCCAAGAAGACTAGACGACCGTCTGGTCATCATGGACGGCCATCCGAGGCTTGAAATTAGCATGGACGATCGTCTGGTCATCATGGACGGTCGTCCATGACTTAAAAATAAGCATGGACGGTCATCTAGGCAACATGGACGATTGTCCAAGGCTTAAAAATAAGCATGGATGGTTGTCTGGTCATAATGGACGGTCGTCCAGAGCTTAAGAATAAGCATGGACGACTGTCTGGTCATTACGAACGGCCGTCCAAGGCCTTCTGACAAAAAATAATTTTTTATTTTCTCAGAAATCCCTCCTTATCCTAAATGAAAGTAAACACTACTAGAGGCCCTGTGAAGCCTTATTCATCTTCAGAATGGAGGATTTCTGGTCTTTATTGTAAAGCCAGACAAGATTTGGGGTCTACAATCTATTAAGCAAACTCGTCGAGGACCATCTAGGCCATAATACATTGGGCGTCAACCAAGGCCCAAGAACTAAGGGATAGAAGAGGAAGCTTCCCTAATAACACACCTCCTTTGGAGTCTCTCTTATTAGAATCCTCTTCTACCTCTTTGTTTTGTATAAAATTGTAAAACGCCCTCTTGTCTCTTTTGTAGGACATGCTTGACCCAACACACAAGATCATGATCCAACACACAAGGCACAACCCAAAAGCTTGATACAGTGACATGGAGAGAGCATGTTTGACCCAACAAACAAGACCATGATCCAACACACAAGGCATAACCCAAGAGCTTGATATGGTTACATGGAGAGAACATGTTTGACCCAACAAACAAGACCATATCCAACACACAATGCACGACCTAAGAGCTTGATACAGTTACATGGAGAGAACCACGACCACCTTTCACTAATTCCACTTGGTTGTATATAAACATTTGAGAACTTCTTCCCCATTTCTTATCCATGGTAAAAAGACTTATAGATATCGAGAGAAGCAAGAATTCTATCAATAAAAGGTGAAATGCAAGGGGGCAATTATGAAATCGAAGAAGATAAATAGATTGAAAGGAAAATTATCCAATCGAGAAGGATAAAGGGTTCGAAGGACAAATATGCAAATTGAAGGAGACAAAGAATCGAGAGGGAGGTTATGTAATTGACATAGGTCAGGAGCAGTTACAACCCACTACATGACATGGATGGTTACCAGTACTTCGTGTCAAGGAAACTACTCAAGAAATGAGGGAAGTAGTTATAGGGAAAAATAACTGTTTTTATTTTATTTTAATGTGTATTTTTGTATTCCTTTAGCGGTTACATAAAGGAACATATAAAGAGGAAAAAATAAGTGTAACTAAGGGTGACAAATTGTTGGAAGAAACATACATTCTGAAAACATGCCACAAATAAGATTAGACTATTTTAATGGAGCTTTTGGTAATTTGGGTCACCACTTTCATTGAATTTATTTATCAATTTTTCTTTTATCCTTAGTAATGGATTAGATTCCCTCTTCCTACACTTTACATTCTAGCACACTTACATTTCTTGCATGTTAATGGGTTAGATCCATTTTTTGGCAATTTACATTCCTAATATGTTTACTTTTCTAGCACGTTTATTTTGAATTTTGAAACTTATATTAAAAATCAAGTTGGTATATGAAAAATTATTGATAGAAATTAACATTGTATTGATTATTGAATGATTAGTGTATGTAATTAAGAACTAAGTAGTTGTGATCAAAGCCTAATCTTCTCTAAATTGAAAAGTGTTTACTTTATAGTCAATAGTAAAAGAATCCACCTGGTGATAAACTTGTTTATTATCTTATAAAATTAATCTATTTTGTGAAAAGTGGTACGCCGAATCAGTGAAATCGAATAACAAATCAATTTGCACCAAAACCACATGTATATTCTTTATTAGATAATAGATAAAATAAGTAAATTTTTACAATATTAATTATCTCAATCACAATCATATTATTTATCATAGAATAATATATACTATAAATATTATATGATATATCATAAATATGATTATTATATATATATATATATATATATATAATATGAAGAATATCAAATTATTTCTTAAAATAATTCTTTTATACCTTTTTATTATCTATATTTTGTCTTTTTTAATTTAGAAGTTAAAAATAAATTGTCTATTTTTTTTTAAAATAACACAGTACGATGAAAAGTAGTTTTTTTCATAGTTTTATTCACTATCACGTATAAATATTTTTTTAAAATACAAAATAATAAAATATGTTTTTTATATAATCACAATAAACATTTTTTAATATAATTTAAACTTTTATTAATTATTCTGTAAAATAAGTTAAATATATTGTTAATATGATAAAAATAATCATTTTTTATATATTTTTTAAAAAAAGACTTTTAAAAATGAAAAGACTATGTATCTAAGAAAAGTATCTCAAGTGAAGAGTCGTTCAATAGGGAAGAAAATAAGAATATAAAGGTAATGTGGGTAGCCGACGGGTGGAGGCAATTACGAAGGAAGGGGAAGTGGTGTTGTTTCTGTAGGGAGGATAAGAGGGAGGCAATGAAAGAAGCCGCAGAGGGGAAAATGGAAGGAGGGTGGGATGAGAGAAGAAAAATAGAGATAAGAGATTGGGAGAGGAAGAAAAAGAGAAAGTTAGGGTTAGGGTTAGGGTTAGGGTTGATGAGAAGGAGAGTGAGAGGGAGCGAAGAAACACTAGTGCAGAACAGGGCTTTTACGTCACTCAATTGTCGTCGTATGCATGTATATTCGACGTAAATAAAACGCGGTGGCAATTTTGTAAATATGAGACAAAAATTTTACGTCGCACATCCCAGTATGCGACGTAAAAAGCTTCTTTTACGTCGCACCTGGGTGGCGCGACGTAAAACATGGACTTTTACGTCGCGTGCTGGGGGGCGCGACGTAAAAAGCCTTAGCTTTTTACGTCGCGCCTCCAGCACGCGACGTAAAAGGCCATCTTTTACGTCGCGCCCTCCAAGTGCGACGTAAAAGATGGCTTTTTACGTCGCGTGCTGGGATGCGCGACGTAAAAAGTCTATTTTATTTCCCTCCACACCCACTTCTTCGTCTCGCGCAACTAGGGTTTTTGAGAATGACGATGAGAACGACGACAACAGCTACCTCTGCACACCATTTTCGAGCAGTTTTACAGTGAAAAACATCTATATTATCGTGTCATTTGACGAACTTGATCTTTCTCCCCGATTGGATTCGAGTTTGAAATCAGTTTTCGTCTACACTTGAGGTTAGTGTTCTATGTCATTGCTATATGTTTACATTGAATCCGTGATTGTTTTTGGGGATCTCAATCACGTTATAGTATGAATGTCTCCACTGGATTGTTATTGGAATGTAATTATTTGTTTATTTGTTTGAATGCATTCGGTTTACACACTCCATTGTTGTTGGAACGTGCTTTCAATTTGTTTATTTGAAGGCCACAGATAACAAACCTAAACCTAATGTTACCGTGGCAAAAGATGGCAGTGGAAACTTCAAAACCATTTCTGAATGTTTAAATTCTATCCCCGCAAAGTATGAAGGACTCGTAATTAGCCTCTCTCACGCTCTACCCCGTAGCTAGAAGCCTCTAGCTTATTTATATCTCGCACGTATATTTGCTATCGTTTGAGGTATAATTATTATTGGGGTTTGAAAATGCAGTGTATGTGATTTTTGTTAAAGAGGGAATATACGATGAGACAGATGAAAATAACAAAGAAAATGCAAAATATAACCATGTACTGTGATGGATCCCGTAAGACCATCATCACCGGTAACAAAAACTACAGGGACTGAGTCAGGACTTTCCTAACCGCAAGTTTTGGTACGCAGCATGTCTAAAACTAAACACCCTTCACCATGTGATGTATATTTTTATTATTATTATTATAAATGGGTAACATATTGTTTTGGCACATGCACGCGCAGAGGGTAGAGGGAGACAGATTCATAGGCCTAGCAATGGGGTTCGAAACACCGCAGCCCCGATGGACATCAAGCGCTGGCCGCAAGAGTCCAGGCAGATCGTGCAGTGTTCGCCAACCGTCGTTTTGAGGGCTACCAAGACACTCTATACGTCCAAGCCCACAGACAGCTCTACAGGAGCTGCATCGTTAGTGGCACAATTGACTTCATCTTTGGTGATGCAGCTGTGGTGTTCCGTGAACCGCATCATGGTTGTGAGGAAGCCAAATGACAACCAACAGAACATGGTGACAAGCACAAGGGAGAGAGGACAAGCAACAAGCCACCGGAATTGTGCTCTAGAAGTGCACAATCAAACCCGATGACAAACTCGGTCCCAGCAAAGGACAAGATCAGGAGCTACCTTGGAAGGCCATGGAAGGAGTTCTCAAGAACCATTGTGATGGAATCGTAAATAGGTGACTTCATTCACCCCGATGGATGGACAAGCTTGGAATGGAGACTTTGCTCTCAAAACATTGTACTATGCCGAGTATGGCAACACAGACCTGGTGCCACCACCAATATGCGATGTAAATTTACGTCGCATATTGGTATATGCGACGTAAATTTACGTCGCGTATTGGTATATGCGACGTAAATTTACGTCGCGTATTGGTATATGCGACGTAAATTTACGTCGCGTATACCATATGCGACGTAAATTTTCTATTTTTTTTTAAATTGAAAAGGTTTTTACGTCTGTTTAGTGTAAATCTACGTCGGATCTGGATAACTGACGTAAATTTACGTCGGGCAAAAGGGTCCGACGTAAATTTACGTCTCCCGCTTTAACGTCGGACTTAAATACGACGTAAAAAGCCCTAAATACCTGACGTAAAAGCCCCTTTTTGCACTAGTGAAAAGGGGATATGGTGAAGGAATTTATTGGGAATAATAATTTCCATTTTTATGAAAGTTTCACAAGATTGCAAAGTCCTTGTCACATTTGGCATGAGAAAGATACGTAGTTTTTTGTTTTAAGAGATTATTCTTCATTAATTTTTTCAATAAGGATATGAATGATTTTTTTTTAATAATTTTTGGTTAATTTATACTTATCATAAATCAACATGTTTAATTAAAAACACAAAAAAAATATAAAATTGTAATTTTTTTAATTATATTATTTTTTTAAGTATTCGTTCTTAAATTTCATGAATATATTTGTTTATGAGAAACAAAAGTTAATACTTAGAACAAAAAATCTTTTATTAGTTTTTTTTAAGAAGAGCTATAAATCATTGATCACAACCGCTTGAGTTACTAGCATATCCCCTGAAATTTTTTCTCTAACTGTCAAAATGATAATATTTTTATAATAAATAAAGATATATTTATTAATATTTTTAACTTTTTCTTCTCTCATTTATTTTTATTTTATTTTCCCTTTCTTTTTTTTCTCTCAGTTCTTTTTCTTTTATTTCATTTTCCTTCAACTCTTCTTTCGTTTCTTTTTCTCTAGACACGTGATCTTTCATTTCTTCTTTTCTTGATTCCTTCTCTTTCATTTTTTTCTTCTCTAATATTTCTTTTTACTAGCTCTTTCTCTTTTTTATTTTTCTAAAACAGACACACATTAATATTATGTTATGAATCTTGTTTTGATAAGTTTATTTTAGTGTAGTTTGCTACTAGAGGTGGGAATGTCTATTCGATAATCTAAGTGAGTTTAAGTCTTATTAAATAAGAATAAAAAAGTTGAGTAACATATGATGAACAAAGATTCATAATTCAATGTCTTGAATTTTTGTTGTTGAAAGTACTATCAATTTTTTATGTGAGTTTGATTCATGTGTCATTGGTATTCTCTCTACGATGAATCCTCTCGAAAGTCTTAACAGTACACATACTTAAGCAGGGCTCTCACTTAATCAATTTGTTATTTTGGCTTAAGTGACATTGATTTAAGCATTATGTATTGAGTAATTTAACTTCTTCCGTTGCATTTGCAAGCTTATGTTCCTCCGCACCAAGCCGGTCTTTGTCTTCGACGGTGGAACCCCTGCCCTCAAGCGTCACACACTACTACAAAATATGCTTTCAACGTCGCCATTTAACGTCAGTTCATCTGCAACTAATGTTGAAAGTACTTTCAACGTCAGTTGGTTAAAACACGATGTTGAAAGTTGGACACATTCTACGTCGGTTTTTAGTCAACCGACGTAGAATGTACTTTCAACGTCGGTTCCGGATGAACCGACGTTGAATATGTTTTCACCCAAAAATTTCTTAAGTTAAAGAATTGTCGTTGACAGGATTTGAATCCAGTATTTTAGAATTGAAAACTGATACTCCAACCACTAAACTACTATACTTTTATGATAATAACTTACAAATTAATTATATTTATATACAAATAAATATATATCCGTGTAAATATATATTTATATATATTTTCTCGGAAAGTGCTTTTATTTTTTTCCGACCAAAAATTTACTTAAGTTAGAGAATTGTCATCGATAGTGATTTGAACTCGAGTATTTTAGAGTTAAAAGTTGATACTCCAACCACTAAACTACTATCATTTTCTGATAATAACTTACAAATAAATTTTATTTATATACAAATAAATATATATCCATGTAAATATATATTTATTTATATATATTCTGGAAAGTGTTTTTATTTTTTTTAGTCAAAAATTCACTTAAGTTGGAGAATTATCACTGACGTAATTCGATTTCAGTATTTTAGAGTTGAAAATTGATACTCTAACCACTAAACTACTATAATTTTTTAATAATAATTTACAAATAAATTATATTTATATACAATTAAATATATATATCCGTGTGAATATATAAATATAGAATATATAAATACAAATATATTTATATGTTGGATGTGAGAGCGCGTTCGAGGGTGAAAGTGAGATTGACTCTCGCTTGAGTGAAAATACGTTAAAGCTCACTGAAATTGACTCGCTCAAGCCTCGCTTGAGCGAAAATTGGTATTTTTCGCTTGAGCGATCGATGTGTTTCCCAAATTTATTTTATATCATCATATAAATAAATTATAAATATTATATTCTATCATTAAATTACAAACTCATATAAAGAGACCCGCTCACAAATTTGGCATCAAATTTTGAAAACCCACTCGACACACACTTTCACCTTCGAGCATGCCCTCACATCCAACATATAAATATATAATTATATAAATATATCAAAATATATAAATATATTTGTATTTATATATTTATATATTTACACATACATATATTTATTTGTATATAAATATAATTTATTTGTAAGTTACTATCAAAAAATTTGAGTAGTTTAGTGGTTGGAGTATCAGTCTCAAAGCACTAAGGTACTGGGTTCGAATCACTCGTCGATGACAAAAAATTAATTTTGTAATGCTCTAAACTTCAAAAAATATGATAAATAATAAAAATATAATATAAAAGAGAGAAGAGATTTCTAGATAAATAGAGGGGTTGGAAATAAATAAAAATTTTCGATTTGAAAAATCAGACTTTCAACATCGGTGTCGGTTAACCGACGTTGAAAGTCCTAACTTTCAACGTCTCCCGATACAACGTTGATTCCGAAACCGCCGTTGAAGGCCTTCCAAAACCGACGTAGAAAGCCTTATTTGTAGTAGTGACACCGTCGTCACCCCCCACCGCCAGCACGAAAACGCCTAAGCTAAAGTCCGCAAAACTACGGAGAAATTGTTGCTTAATCATGTATGACCTTTTGCTTTGTGTTGTCAATTCCGAAGCTTTGGTCACTTTTTTTGTCCCTTTTTTTATTCTGAAACCGTCGTTTTCGCCTGATACAACGTTGATTCTGAAACCGCCGTTGAAGGCCTTCCAAAACCGACGTAGAAAGCCTTATTTGTAGTAGTGACACTGTCGTCGCCCCCCACCGCCAGCGTGAAAACGCCTAAGCTAAAGTCCACAAAACTACAGAGAAATTGTTGCTTAATCATGTATGACCTTTTGCTTTGTGTTGTCAATTCCGAAGCTTTGATCACTTTTTGTGTCCCTTTTTTGTGACTGCATTGGTCGTTCGACTCCAATAGAAGGAAAACAATTATCTAAATTCACTTTGAAGTGGAAGAATGTTGAATAGGTTAGAATTGGGTGTAGTTTATTTACTCACTTTTCGTGTATTTCTGTAGTAAGAAAGCGATTAACACATGCCCATTGTTATAGTTGTATGTTTTAGGCTCTTTCATGTTTTTAGGGTTTCGTGCAATTTTAATGTGAAGGTTGGAATTTGTTTGTGTTCTCTTTTGGATTGTTGCTCGAATTTTGGATACTGACTTGACAATTGACGCTGGGTTGTTGATTTGGTGAGTTTTTAGATGTTATTAGTGTCATTAGTTTCCAAATAAATTAGTGAAGGGTGTGGACTCATGTTGATTTGAATAAGGAGTCACTAATTCCTTGAACTTTTAGTTAGTGTGGTGATGTATCAATAGCTCTTGAAAATTGGTATGGTTACTTCGTAACAGATTTTGAGTGTGATCATGCACTACTACAGAATGATCCTTCAACGTCGGGTGTAGAAGGCATTCAACGTCGGTTCCAATGACGTCGTTGAATCAGACATCGTTGAATGTCAAAGGATTCTACGTCAGTTCAGAAAACCCAATGTTAAGTGCTAGAAATCTACGTCGGTTAACTAAATGTTCGTCGTAGAAATGAGTAAATTCTACGTCGGTTATTGAACTAACCAACGTTGAAAGTTATATATACAATGTCGGTTAGTTCTATGACCGACGTTGAGAGGTATATACTATGTCGGTTAATGCAATAACCGACGTTGTATATTTCTTACAACGTTGGTTATTGCATTAACCGACGTAGAATATCCCTTGTTTTTTAAATAATGCTCTATTTTTAGTGCCACCAACAGTATACGACCTGCTATAATCTCAGTCATTGACAGTATATATATTTCAGCTAATCACTATATATTATTATATATAAAATGATAGGTATATATGTCAAAATCAGCCAAATTATGTACAAAATACACAAAAAATTGTCAATCAATCCTATTCCTAACTACTTGGACAAACTTTTCTGCCCATTTGTTTAACCATGTCTATAGTTTCCATAGGCAAAGGTTCTATATCTTTAAATGCCTGTAAGAAGTTTACAAATAGAATGGTAAACCCTAAGCAATTAAAATAAAGGAATTGAATATAATAGCAAATGTCAACTTACCTCATTCCAACTATCCTGAATGCTACAAAAAATGATGAGCCACATCCAATACATTACATAGTAGCCGCACTCGTATCCTCTATTTTGTATGTTACACTAAAAATGACTAAATATGTTAAAAATAACTATTAAATTTGAACATAAAATAGATAGTATAATATATATAAAGGCTAATTACTTTGATAAAATTCCAATTTGGAGTTGTGCTTTTACTTGTGTGTTTTCCATCTAATGT